TAGTCTAAATGATTACACACGCTACCAAATTATTATCAGTCACTTGTTTACATGCATTAGTGCATTTCATATATTAAACTCTTTTTAATATAAATAAAAATCTCTTAAAAATTTACATATTTATGAGAATTGTTAACTAACAAAATTAATTCAGTTACATTGGTTAATAAATGAAAGGATACTAAATAATAAATATTAATATTTCTATACCATTCGGCTCTATGGTAGTACAATTTTAATAAAAAAAAACGTATAACAAAATGTATTTTAAGGATTAAATAGTACGTTACAAATAATTACTTAATTCTTAGAAGTTTAAAGCGAGAGACATCGGAATAGAAAAGACGAAGAGGTACTTTGTACGATTTTGAACTTTATAATTATGTGTCGTACTGTCGAATACAAAAACTATTAAAACCTGTTTATCTGTGTTGCAAATTTTAAAATTGTACTATTAAGAAACCGCTTTCGAGTTACTAGCAAAGAAAAGCGCCATAAAGATGCTGAAAATTTTAATCGACATAGTTAATAGACAGCAAATCAAGTTCCTACAAAAACAGACTTATTTTCTCAATGAAATTTCACCTATATATCAAAGAGTTTAGGTTAACAATCAATTGAAGGAATTTGTCAGTTTATGATAACATAACTGCTGTACACTGCACAACTTAGTTATACAAAACTTTATCTCGGTGTTGCCATTGTCTGTATTGTAATAACATTTACATAGAGTTGTGAATACTGCAAATCTTATATAATTAAATTTTCATTTTTAAAACAGACTATTTTGTGAAAGAGATGTTTTTTTCTTAGTTAAAATTAAGTACAGTTTTGGAATTTTAATGAACCAGTGGTATTAATATAATGGCCAGCTTCACCTATGCCGCAACTCGATCGTTACAAACTCAAAGTGTTCACAACACAAAAATATTTCTTTGAATATTTCAATTTTTTAACATAATATGTTAATATTTGGTATAAATTAATATAACATATGCTTCGTTTTTATCTTATAACCTAATATAAATCATATGCTTTATGACTATGCCGTGTTTAGTTTGCAATTTCCATTTCTAGGCATTCTGTTGAGATCCCGTTATATTGACACGGCATATTTAAATAGTCCAAGAAAAATTTAATATAAGTGTAAACAAAAATATTAAGTGTATATTGATTTCAATTGTGGCAGGATTCTCTAAACTTAAAACTAAATTTAACAATAGTCTATCCTTTTCATTCTGTATAGAGAATGACAGGGATACACTGTTTCAAATTAAATTTTAGCTTTAGAGAATCATGCCAGAATCGATTCATAAACTGTCGCGTTGCATATTGCTCTATATCAAAATTGGAAGAAAATCTAACGTTTAAATTTAAAAAATGGCTGTTTTCCATGCAGATCACTACAGTACCACACAGTAACACTATTAACAGATAAATATAATATATTATATTAACAAAATTACTAAGAAAAAACTTGAAGGTCCCTGCATCTATTGCAGTTGCGATGTTTTACAATAGTAGATTTTTTTCAAATATAATGTAAATGGTTTTAATGCAATTAAACTAAAAGGTATTAATTTATTTGTACCACTTTTTGCATGAGATCATCTCATCTTCGTTTACACTTTAATAAATTCTTCTCAAATATAATAAGGGTTCCGTTTTTGCCATTTGTCTACGGAACCCTAAAAAACGTGTCGAACAACGGCTCGTTTCAGAATGCGTATGAGTTGTTTCTGGCGCTAACGTGACTACATTTAACGAGAAAACAATATTAAAGTTTATCGACAGTTAAATGTTGGTAGAACCAGAAAATATAAACTTACTTTCAAATAACTTGTGTTAATTTAGGTAGGTGATAATATATCGTACATCAAAAAGCCTTCTATAGATTAATGGTAATCGCTTTCAATCTACGATTACAGATGCGAAGTGACTTTTGCACAGATTTGGTAATGGATGGGTGACCTCAGAAAGCACGAAAAGTACGTCCCGGCCAAATCAGAAACCAAACACTGAAAGCGTTTGCCATTTTTAAATGCCAATTATATGTGACACGAGGAAGCTGATAATGACGATAACGAGAAACAAAACTATTTTCAACTTTAACATCAAGCCCATAAGGAGGTTAAGTGAAAATAAGTTACTACACTACTAGCAGCGGTGATAAAACTCAGAAAATTTACAAACAACAAGCATAAACGAAAACTACATTGCACATAATCCAATAGCTAAATCTACTGTACACACTTAACACATACATATAGTACTAGAAACTACCACACAAGAAACTATGATGGAGTATAAACTTATAATTTTCACAACTCATAGTTGTTTGACCCTTTGTACAGATTTATTTTAATGATAATTTTACAGTGGAGTCTTGAACGGGTAATTTCACTTTATATATTTTCAACGTACTATCTCCTCTTAACATGACAGAAGCTTCGTTTACTAGAGAGAAGTAGATTGAAAAAATATATGTATTGGACACAGAATATTTTATTAAACCTAATTAAAACTAAGAACTAACAATAAATTAAAAAAAAACAATATACATACATCGTTCGCTAATCATAATTTAAGACTCTAAATATCGCCCGATACAATTATAGAAATATTATGACATGAGATCATTTTCAGAGGCATATCAATGTAGGCATTTGCAATACGGACGATTGCATTTTCAACCTAAAGGCGGTTTTATAAAATTACCAATTTTAAAAACCAAAATTTAGACACTAACTGGCTCTTTTTAAGGACGAAATTCGATAAATGCAATTGGCAAACTAAATTATTAGATAAAATTAGAAAATTTTACATAGCTAATTGAAATTAAATGTTCATACTTATCTTTTTAATTTACCTGGTATCCATGAATAGTGATATAAATATAGCAACTGAAAAAAGGTACAGACAACAACAGCTCATGTCGCTTCTACAAAATGTTAACATTCTGCTATCGATTTTCAACCTTGAACCTACTTACTAAGATTGAAAATTGATTGGAGAATATTGAGAGATGTGTATAAGCAGGAAAGCTGTTAAGACGTGTGTGCAAAGTATATTACAAAAAAAATACATTTTATACAATTTTTCTCAGTCACTTTATCTATTGAAATCTCGCCTAACTCAGCTGGAACATAGGAAACATAAATTAATAACAAAAAAAAGTATGCATTTAGTAACTTGAATGGGTGCACATTAAATAAACAATAAATTTTATCAATCAGTCAACCAATAGTATATATAATATTCGCGAAAAAACCTCCCGTATAAAAACTAAAAAGAGTTTCCAAATTGCGATCGTTATATATGGTTGTCAAAAATTCATTATAGTTCAAAATTAGTCAATGGTTTGTTTGTAAGGAACAAAACTAGATTAAAAATAATTTAAACATCACTAATTGTCCATTAAATAATACAACTATTTGTCTTTCTTTAAGTTACTAATATCTTCTTAAAATTTTACTGAGTGAAAATTAGACGCTACATTGGTAATAGATTTTCCCAATAACATATAATTATGGTTACATAAGAAATAGATATTATGTGATTTCACTTACTAAGAAGCTGTTTACAAAACCGCAACGATCTCATTTCTGACAAGTCCAGTTTATTCCTTACACACAAACAAAAATAAATTCATAAGCACAAATTGTTACAATGCTACCAAATAAATTAGCAAAAATCTAGTGTATAAGCAATACACAAACCTATGTACATTGATATAAAATATAATTTAGTGTGTTTCAGGGATATTGTATGAATGATCATAACGGTAAACATTTAAAAACAGTATTCCACTGATTATTGCAATTGTTTTTAATAGGACAAAATTAATAAGAATTGTACTTTTGGATCTTGTAAAAAATCTTTTTTTTTTTTGAAAATCAAATTTTCGTGACAATTAATATACATATTTTGCAAAGTGAAAAATGTCATGCGAATTAAATTAACATTCATAAAATGACCAAAAACACACGAAACAGCATTACGAAATGCAGCAGGAATGTTCAATAACAAGAAGAAAAAAACCTGTTTCTCAGACCAGCTTTTCTATACAGAAAAATAACTTCTTTGCTGTATAATTTAGATAGATTGGCACAAAAATCATCTCACTAACAATGCGTAGTGTCCACAGATATTAACAAAATTGTTTAATCTGTGGCTATCATACGACACAGCGGCAGTTTATAGGAACAAAAATACACGTTAATTTTCACGTACAATATCATAAATTATACTTCACCAACAAATTATACAGTAAACAAGTAATTATACAGTTCCCTCGTATTGATAGATGTATATTACACACTCTAATGAATATTACAAGCGAACTACATATATTAAACCTGTTACTGCTAATTTGTCTGAAAATAAATGTAACTTAGATATAATCAAGTAAACATTCCCAAACTCCAGAACACTTGTCACTAGCCACTGTCAAAACTTCACCGAGTTGCATTAAAATAATAGTACTAATATAAGATTTACTATTAGAAAAGTTAAACAACCCAAATAACGTTTACGACAAAAATTAAATGTACTTAACAAAATTGTCGCGCCGTACCGTAATTCTATAGAAGAATACTTTAACTACAAAAAATATAATTATAATATATAATGTACAAATAGTACTAAGTAAACACCGTATATACAATATCTGCACGAGCAGCGAAAAAATACATGATATACTACAGTCAACAGCCTGTGTAAAATTGTTGTCTCTATCGATTATAAACTTTATCAGAGGTTAGTGCGGTGAAAGATTTATGACGATGGCGTTGCCTCGATCGATTATAACCTTAATTTAAGTTACTTTAAGGTTGAAAATCGGTCGAATTGATAGAAACACTGTTGACTGCATAAATTGAAGAAAAATATCACACTTTCTTCTTCATAACGTCCGTTTTATCTGAGTGCGGTGTATAGGTTAAAACGCTGTTGACTGCATAAGTTGAAGAAAAATATCACTTTTTTTTATATAACTTCCATTATCTAAGTGCAGTGTATAGGTTTAGAACGCTCTTGTTTTCTTTATGCGATGGAGTTTTGGAGAATACGTTCCAAAACCGTAGCGTTTCGTCTCCGGCGCCGGTGACTATTGCTTCGCCGTCCGGCGATAGAGCCAGATATAGCACTCGGTAAGAATGACCCGTCAGTTTGGCTACCTGGAAATCGAAAGCATTTTTTTAACAATAAGATTCAAAATTTAATCTCCCCATATTACTAAAGTTGAACCCGGTATAAAAACGATGCTGTCACCTTTGTTTGCTAAAGATAAGACAAAGTCAGCAATGTGTGTTTAGGAAAATGTTATGCCACCTGTTGTTGCCAATGTGACATGAGGTCTTATTTATGAAGTTTTTTGCGCGAAGTAATCGAACGAGCTTCTAAATTGATGCATAGAATATGACTAAAGTACGGTATGACCCCACGCTACCCGTCCTTATCGCTCGCGCGAAAGTATGTTGCTGTCTCGCTCGCACACGTGTCGTGTGTAGTACTGTGTGCAAGGGTGACAGCAACATAATTATTGCAGGTAGCGTGGGGTCATTGTACGAAATTCTTTCTGCCCGGCGACCGTACTATATATATACTTATGTAATTTGACGGATGAGTAGATGTTTCGTCTCAGGGCTGCGACCTGGTGCGAAAACCCTCAGTCAATCAAAATATCAAGGCTTGCGACCTCCATGGCCGAGTGGCTTGTCCTCGAGAGGTCCCGGATTCGAATCCCGATGGGGGCAGATGTTTGTGTGATGAATACGAGAATTCTTACTCCAGACATGAATGTTAATGTGTATTTCTATATTAAGCTGGTAGTGCTTACTTTGGAAAAAATAGGTTAATTAGTGTGTGTGTTGGGAATATTTATTTATTTAATACCCTTACTACAAAATGGTGACTACTGAGTTTTTAATGAGATCGAGAGGAAAAATAACTTTCAGTTCAAAATTTGTTTAATGTAAATTAAACATTGTTTCTTTTTTTGAATGTGTATGCTGTTGGTCGCTTATGACCTTTACAGCGTCACCGGGTTTGGGGACGGCGAGATCCTAAGGGGACCTCAAGCCGAGAATTGGCGAGTGCCTCTAGAGGTATTCCAGGCAGAAGGCATCTCCCAACGGGGGGAGTCTCCTCTCTGTCTGTAGCCTCTAGACCACTCGAACCTGAGGGGGACTTTAACTGTGCAAATCAAAGCCTATATTTAAATAAAGATCTCTCTTTAAACTGAACCAATCGTTATTTCATTACAAAATGAGGAGAAAGTAAAGCAATCAAATAGGCCTTTTTTTTATTGAGAGTATTAGGAAACGAACAGGGCCTAGGAGTGCTAACGTGTACATGATTAATAATAACATTTATAAATTAAAAAATTACCTGTGTTAACGAAGGGTACTTCCACACTAGGATCTGGTTCTGCGAGTATCCGTGCGTTGACACCAACTCGCTCGAGTGTTTCGACCACGCCAGATTGCACACTTGGGACCCTGTCAAATGAATAAAGCAGTCAAATTAAAATATATAGCACTTATGTTTTTATTTATAAAGCATTTAACTGCTAGATGTTTAAATCTAAAGAAAAGTTTAGTAGAAAATAATCCACGGGGACCAGGCAGCATTGTGGGTTACCTACAATTCGAAGAGATGGCGCTGCCTTGCAGCCTAAGGCTAGAGAAAATTCGAAACGGCCGTCAGGGTCGCGGTAGCATAATGGTCAGTGCATTCGCCCGTATAGCGAAGGGAGCGGGTTCGAGTCCCGTCTGCTGCCTTTAGAATATAGCATTTACAAAAAAAAAAATTCACTCCTGACTCTTGCACAGCACACATACAGGACGTTTGCTAATGACTAAAGAACTGAATGGATTATGCTGATTTTGGATTTGGATTTTGATTTTGGTACAGTTGAATCAAGGTCTTTTAGCACTTTTATGACATTGACAGGCGCCTGCCTGTCAAAGTTGCTGGTGAAATAAGGCTAAAAATAGGTACGTAAAATCTCCTCACTTAGGGACCGCTAATATAATTGCAATATCGCGGTAATAGTATATAGTATCTGGGGTTCCTTTAAGAGTTTGTGTGGCAGTTCAAACCTGCTGCTCTTATTGTCTGGACTTGTCATCAGGGAGACTAGTCATTTGCCTACCTAACAGCCATCCTATTCCCTAACTTTTTCGTCATCTGCGCCGGGGACTGTCTATGTGTACACGGTACTGACTGGTGTCCACGCACTGCATCGGCTGCAAGGTGAGAGTGTTCCAGAAGCGGATGCAGCGGTCGGCGGTGCCACCGCCTGACGCCAGCAGACCGTGCTGATGCGGCCACTACGCGATCGCCTTCACCACCGCCACGTGCGACGAGTACGTCTGCCCCGGGGACTGTCTATGTGTACACGGTACTGACCGGTGTCCACGCACTGCATCGGCTGCGAGGTGAGAGTGTTCCAGAAGGGGATCCAGAGCAGACCGTGCTGATGCGGCCACTACGCGATCGCCTTCACCGCCGCCACGTGCGACGAGTACGTCTGCCCCGGGGACTGTTTATGTGTACACGGTACTGACCGGTGTCCACGCACTGCATCGGCTGCGAGGTGAGAGTGTTCCAGAAGGGGATCCAGAGCAGACCGTGCTGATGCGGCCACTACGCGATCGCCTTCACCGCCGCCACGTGCGACGAGTACGTCTGCGCCGGGGACTGTCTATGTGTACACGGTACTGACCGGTGTCCACGCACTGCATCGGCTGAGAGGTGAGAGTGTTCCAGAAGGGGATCCAGACCAGACCATGCTGATGCGGCCACTACGCGATCGCCTTCACCGCCGCCACGTGCGACGAGTACGTCTGCCCCGGGGACTGTCTATGTGTACACGGTACTGACCGGTGTCCACGCACTGCATCGGCTGCGAGGTGAGAGTGTTCCAGAAGGGGATCCAGAGCAGACCGTGCTGATGCGGCCACTACGCGATCGCCTTCACCACCGCCACGTGCGACGAGTACATCGGCCCCGGGGACTGTCTATGTGTACACGGTACTGACCGGTGTCCACGCACTGCATCGGCTGAGAGGTGAGTGTTCCAGAAGCGGATGCAGCGGTCAGCGGTGCCACCGCCTGACGCCAGCAGACCGTGCTGGTGCGGGGACCACGCGATCGCCTTCACCGCCGCCACGTGCGACGAGTACGTCTGCCCCGGGGACTGTCTATGTGTACACGGTACTGACCGGTGTCCACGCACTGCATCGGCTGCGAGGTGAGAGTGTTCCAGAAGCGGATGCAGCGGTCGGCGGTGCCACCGCCTGACGCCAGCAGACCGTGCTGGTGCGGCGACCACGCGATCGCCTTCACCGCCGCCACGTGCGACGAGTACGTCTGCCCCGGGGACTGTCTATGTGTACACGGTACTGACCGGTGTCCACGCACTGCATCGGCTGCGAGGTGAGAGTGTTCCAGAAGCGGATGCAGCGGTCGGCGGTGCCACCGCCTGACGCCAGCAGACCGTGCTGGTGCGGCGACCACGCGATCGCCTTCACCGCCGCCACGTGCGACGAGTACGTCTGCACCGGGGATGTGGAGTGCTGCCAAACAATAACAAAGATATTACAATCACATCATACATATCGTCATCATCATCAGCCTTTCCCCATTGGTGAGGCACAGGCCGCGGGGAGATTGGTCCATGACCTATCACGCGAGCCCAGTGCTTATTGGTGGGTGTTAACGTTATCATTACCACAAGAAGTTAGTCTGACATTCAACACGAGTGTAAGAAGAAAATGTCATATATAATTCATTAAACTTCTCATTTACAATTTATTAAATTATACTAAGTTATTGGTACTGTGCGCTATCTGATATTAACCTTCAAATGGAGTTAAAGATAACAAAAAATATATAGGAAATTTGTGTGTCACCACAATGAGCTTGAATTATCGCTGACCACAATCTCACGCCTACATTTTCGGCAAATTATAGAAAATAACAGAATTATTTTGGTTATTCATTATTATTTAAGTACAAATTCAAATGAGCTATTTGAGCTTCTTCTTTACATTCTTAGATAATAAAATGAAATTTGCCAAAAATCTAAACTAATATTAATAGAATCTTACCATAGACCAAACGAAGAGTTTGTTGTCGTTACCGCCGGACGCGAGCGATTGGCCATCCGGCGACCACTTCAGACCGCACACTTCTTGCCTATGCCCTTGTAGAACCCTGGACGATTGCACCGCTGAAAAAATGATTTCAATTTAACAGAAATAACATAATTATTATCTTAAGAAGGAATAACCTACACTTAACATAGTTGGTCAGAGCCTTGATAGTAAACTAGCTGCAAACCTTATAGATAACTGGAGAAAGTATGTCATTTTCATTTTAATGACCGGGAATCGAACCCGTGAACAGCGTTGACGTCTATTCAAATATTATACAGCATCTCAATGTGTCCGCGTAGATTAATTTAGATAATATTAGTGTCTCGCAGAAGAGAATTCGAAATTCCATACTCAAATACTTACGAATTTGATATAGCACCCTCAGCCTATAAAAACATTGTTTTACAGTGTCTGTTACATGCTTCTCAAATATCAAGTTAGATTCAATCAAAACCCCCAAGTTACTATCCTCACTTGTTAGATTGTATCTGACTCTTCGATTACAAGTTTATGGGTGTTGATTCGTTTTAATTGAATTTCAATGGCTAATTTATAGTAACTATTGACTTTTATATTATTTTTAGTACTATCACGGAATTTTGCGCTCTGTCACTTGGCGAACAAAATGCTTTAAACGGTTTTCTACAGTAGTTTTTACTACGCCCCGCCTTCGCGTCGGACGCGCCAATCCGGGCCGCCGCACAAAAGTAAGACAGAGAGCATTTCATTGATTGAATAATGAATTGAATTGCATTTGTTTTAGTTGCAATTTGTCATCCGCATTGTAATCGCGACAGCGCTATACGAAAAAGTAAGACAGCGATAATTACATACTATGAATGAATTTTTACTACGCCGCTACCTCAAGGGATTATGGCATTATGGGTGACAGAGGGGGTCTTTCCGCGAGTGTACCTACAACATAGTAGATAAGATGAAATATTGAAATTATCAGCAGGTAATCTGCGAAATAGTGTGGAAAATGTTTGTTCCGTGGATGTTTGCGCACAAAATACAAATAGAGTGGTGAAGCCTTATGGAGTATCTTTATCATTATTTGTGTTGGTTTGGCTTTGCACTTCAGCCGGATGGACTCGGGACACCCTTTATCTTAAAAACAAATAATTATAGGATAAACCTCGCGTACATTGATCTGATGTAAAGTGAGCCGTTAATGCTAAAAATGACTCGATTTATGGAAAACAGAAACACAGCAAATGTTATGTCAGCATAGTTATGGAAGTGACAAAGTCAGGATTTTCACTACTATTTTTTGTGTACTGGTACAACAGAAAATAAAACTCTGCCAAGTCTAATGCTCAACGTGGTCGGAGAATAGGATTCAGGCTCAGGAATTCAAGGTAAAGGGACTGATGTTATTTTCATGTAATTTTATTGTATTATTAATGAAGCTCAGTACTATATTACTGTTATAGAAATTCGTTAAAAAATTAAAAAATAATATTTACAAGTTGTTGTTTGCAAAGCAACTTGTTTACGCCGAGCCTATTTTGGGCATTACCTTTTCATGGGAACGTGGGGACAAAATATGTTCGTACATCACGTGCCTTGAGTCCGTGTCAAGTCCTCGGCGGACAATTTCTTCACGATTCAGGTACTTTTGTCCGCCTCTGGCAAAAGTGCTTCGTCTGCGCAGCCCATAATATTGTAATTTTGTAAGTAAACATTTACTCACGTGGTGTTCTCGTGTCCCTCTGTCGTATATGCCGATCCCGTGAACCCGAGCTCAAAATGTCGCCGTTCCACGCCAGAGCACCAACCCGAGCTATGTGACCTTGTAATTTCGTCACCTACAACCACAAACATAAAGAAAAATAAATAAATGCAAAACTGAAGTATGTATGCACGTTAGATTTCTGGTATTTTTAACCAGAATTTTTGGTGGGTCATCGCAATTTTAAAATTACCCATCTGTCACAGGTTTTACTGTTTAGACAGGGGAAAATCGTTTGTTATTCCTCCTTTCCTAATCATTTATTCAAATAATAAATGATGTTCTTATCGCACATTACTCTTAAAATTAGCAAAATGCACTTGAGTTAATCTAATCAGAGAAAAAAAGATAACCCAGACTCGGCTCGGGCCCGGCACGTCTAGCGTGAGCCATCCCTAAGAATGATTCATGCTACACCGTGTCGCGACCGAGCCGTGCCCCGGCTGGTTCTTGGTCAAACATTATGGTATACTTTTTGTATGAAGTAATTCATGCCTGAACGTGGCACGGCGTTGAAATGTCGGTGGGTATTATTTCCCGACTCCGGCGCCCGCAGAGCAGTCAACGTCAAAACTTAGTGAGGTGAGCAGCTCAACAGCAAAATGGACGATGAAAAATAATTATTAGATTGTGGCCAAATTCTCCTTCAGTTTTCTCCAGAATGGATGTACACCCCATCTTTTTTCAGTAGTTTCGCTTCGTTTTTCCAACACTTCGTCATCGAAGTAGAAATTGCAGTAGCTGCCAATTCAAGTTGTGAAAATTGCATATTTACATAAGCGTTACGTCTATCAACTGATGAAATCACTAGTTGACACAAAACACTTATCACACACAAGGCCGTGCAAAGAATACACGCGACGGCCCGGTGTAGCATGAATGACTGACAGGGTGGAGCCCGGCCCGGTCGCGACAGTGTGCCGTGACGTAAATCATCCTTTAAAGTATTGTAACGAGCCCTGTCCGGGCCAAAACGAGATCAAATTGTTTCCTAACGTTACACGGTGTCCGTGTAAAATGTATGTAGTATTGGTTGACCGTGCTGCGGCCGACGCTCGGCTTCGACCCGGCACGTCAAGCGTGCATAATCCTTAATATACCCTTACCTCTTTATTGACACTGACGTCCCACACGCTGATGTGTCCCTTCTGTGTTCCGACGGCGACGAGGTGGCCCCTCTCGCCCCACGCCACAGATGTGACGGCGTTCCCTTCTGAAGACAGGTCACATAGTCGTGTAACCTGTGACCAAAGATAGTTGTATAGATACTAGATGTTCCAGCAAACTTTAAACAAAAGTTGTTTTTTAATTAATTTTTTAAATAAATTATTTGGACAACATTCTCTCCAGAGGTCCGCTCTGGGGTATCCCCTATCACTTTGGGTAGAAAAAAATAAAGCTCCGCTTGCCGTGCCTTAAATCCAGCCCTGAACAGACAGACAGACAGACCGATACACTTTGTCATTTGTAATACTAGTATGGATGGATGGTTTCTGAATTACAATTTGGGATTTATCTCTATTACATTATGTATATGGCAAGATATATTCCCACTGCAGAATCCCGTTTTGCGTGAATATTCTAATGTCTGTCTGTCTATGAAAGTCGAATCACAGAATTAGCATCCCACCGGGCTGTATAAACAGCGTTTGTTTGCAGACGTATCGGACAAAGCATAATATTTGATATGCCTAGTTAAACTGTTAAACTTTTAAATAAAATATTTGAAGATCTGACTTCAACATTGAGTAACGGGTCATATGTAATCGAATATTGCGACCTCGGTGGCCGAGTGGTTCGTACGCCGGATTTCATGGTGTCGCCGACTCGAGAGGTCCTGGGTTCGAATCACGGTGGGGGCGGATGTTTGTGTCATGAATACGAGCATTTGTACTCCAGTCATGGATGTTTGATATGTATTTCTATAAAAATATACTTATATATCTACAGTATATGTATTCTATCCGTTACCCTAGTATCCCATAACACAAGCCTTATAATGCTTACTTTGGGGCTAGTCTAATTGGTGTGAGTGTTGAAAATATTTATTTATTTATAACACATCAGCAGAATTGACAGATTAACTCAAAAGATCCTACCTGACTGGTGCAAGCGCTCCACAGATAGACGCAGCTCCCCAGGCCGACACTGAGCACGTTCTGCGCGGACCAGTCCACCAGGTTCAGGTAGAAGTCGTCCTGCAACTCCGGCGCGTCCAGAACCTTGAACGGAATCCGTGAGATCTTCCTCGTTGCCTTCCTGGGGGATCGCAGCAGTTTCTGCGATTTGGCTGACACCGGCGATAAGCTGTACGGTGATGGATCTATGTTTTCCTATAACAAAAATATTTTAATCATTAGTATTTTAGTGCCACTAATGCTTAGACACGCGGACAGAATCACTTGGAGAACAAGGAGGACTTGGCGAATGCCATTACTCAAAAATGAGCGCTTTCCGTGCCTCGCTAAAAAAAATACGTTCTGCATCGAATTACAACTTCAAAGAGTGAGTACGCACAGCGTCGCATTCTCGGTGTGACGTAACCTTTAAACGGCCTAAAAAGCGCGTAATTGGCGTAAGTACATTTCAAATTAACGTCATAATTGTGTTTCGGGCACTTCATAATTGTGTTTCGGGCACTTCATAATCTATGTTCACCACACAACCCGTTACTTAAAAGCCGTTTAAAAGCAATTTATTAAATGACTGCTGTGCGCGGAAGCTTCAGAAACAATTATGTACGGATAACCTTACTATGAACAACGCGTAACTTTTTTAGAACTATACCACAGAAGAATCATTCCCAAAAAAAATATTTTAAGGTAACGTCTACCATGTAGTTGAACTATTTAAACTACCTACTGATCAATCGGTTGGATTACATTACGCGAAACTAATTTCAAGTCTTTTGTTTTCTTAATCGACAGCACGGCAACAACGATAAGAATTTAATCATAAAATTACATCGGTACTACCAAAACGGTGGTCTATAAACTGTCAAACAAAAAAATATACTACATCTCGACAATCTCATTACAAGTGTTAAATTAAACTCTTTAGAAACTGACGACCGTCACAATAGATACAACACTTCTAATTTGTCTAAAAATCCATTTCAAATGAGGAAAACAAAAACAAGATACAAATAAAAATACCTACCTACTGACGGTGTTAAAGAGACAAATGACCCCACAGTCATTAAGCTCAGACACATAACAATGTAAAAACTTATGATAAATTATGACTGCCTAAATAACTCCTGAATTATGTTTTGTTATCAAAACTTCTTCGTTACAAATGGCAGAACAAAAACAGTATAAAATGCAATTGGATACAATCACCATGAGATAGGACACAAAAGCTTTTAAATCTAGACACGCCGAGTCATAGCTTAAAAAAAGGATTATGTATGACCTAGCAAAAAAATACCTAGACTTACATGCAGATTTATTCAAATCACTCTTTACTAAAAAACGAGTTACCATACGCTCGGAATGAAGATGAGAAATTAAGAGATAAATAAACATTGTGGAAAAAACGGGCAGAGTTTCGCAACTCACTTTAGAAATTTCCTGAAGCGTAACGACAAAAGACCTTGACGGGTTGACTACCCAAAAGTTTAGTACGACGTACGTACTGCGAAAAGGATAAAAATACACATTGCTGACGAATCGATTTGTCAGCAATTTTTTTACGTACCTGTATCAATTGATCATCAACTTTTTTAAGAACATGAGCTGATTAGTCTTATTGACAAGCAAATTTAAAACACTTGATTATTTATAAGTCTGGAATGGCTACTGCCAAATTAATCTTTTATTATTCGAACAATAGCCAAGGCATAATACCAGCATATATTGAAGCTCATTTGTCAAAAGACGTATTAACACAAGAGATATTATTTATAAAGCACTAAAACTGAGTTTGTTTCTTTTATAGCCGTCTAAAATGACACAGAGACGACAATTTTAATGTTAATTTTCGCGCAGACATACATCTCACAAGAATTCTAAGTAAACTCGCTGCAAAAAATGCACACGGTAATATTGCGTCCATGAACCCACTTTTATTACGTATTCAATGTTATCTAAATGAATAACACCTTCATAAAGAGATACATTTTTTGGGACGCTACGTGGGCAGCTATTGCCATATGTGTATTTTGAACTGATAATCCTTTTATTGTTGAAACATAGAATTAAGGCGTGTGGGTGGGAAATATTGGTAGTTTCACACCAAAAATGCCAAAATACAATGTTTTAAAGATTGGGAAAATACAACAAAGGAACAACTTTGGTAATGTTTTACAACCACACGCAACTGCAACAAAATTGGGTTGGGTGACGCCTACGTCAACAGAAATACATGAAATAAAGAACATAAACTTGAATGTTTAAAGTTAAGCGCACTCACAATAAATATAACTGATAAAGGTTTATACATAATTCTGAAGCATATCGTGTCAGAGACCGTTGCAATGCCATATCTATTTAATGACACAGTTAAATAAAACACTCATGTAAATACGTACGACTAAAAAGGGTAAAAAAAGATTAACCAACGAAATATCAAAATCATGTTGCCCAAACAGGAATCTAAACGGATTACGATGAACTGAGTATGAATGAAAATACTCGTACTACCGAACAGCTGAAACAAGATTGAAAGTGCATCGTGTGCACGGTGATTAATTCACAACTGCCACTTTAGGATATATTGACTTACTTGCCCCGCCTTCTGAAGTCATCGACACGGTGGCCTTGGTTGCCGAAAATTAATGCATATTATTATATTACGTAAGCCGAATATCGCCTGCAGCCAGCAAGTTGCAACTTGTTTTGGTGATACGAACTGGTATGTCAGCTGAGATTTTACTAGATAAGGTGATGACGTTAGTGACGTTTTAAGAACAGATTAGCTTTATGGAATGCATGCATTTTTTTATAGTAGCAATGAAACATATCTGAAGTATATGTAGGGCTGCCATCCGTCCGGGTTTCCCCGGATTTGTCCTTGTTTACGGGGCGTCCGGGGAGCGTCCGGGCGGGGTTTCGTTTATAGTCCGGGTTTAAAAATTTCCTGTTTTGGGTAGCCAATTAATCCGTCAATTTAAATGTCTTTAAAAATAAATAAATCTATTCTAACACTGTAACCATAAATGCCGACTTCCAACAAAGATCAGCTTTGTCGCCCATACTGTCCGCAATAACAGCATTCGTTGCTATGCGGATTACAGCACTGAAACTTTTTACACTGGCCGGTCAAACATCCCTTGATTCAAACTAAACAATTCAAACAACATTCTTTGATGGAAGAAGAAGGGTGTAAAGACAGACTTGTGTCCGAGATTGAGATGTTACTGGATCAAGTCTCAAATTGGAGCCAACAAAATTTGATTGGATTAACCCCGTAAAGACACAAGTGTGTGTGAAAAAGCTTGTGTGTTCAATAGATCTAGTAAGTACCTCAAGCCTAAATATCGGGTGTTACTTTACAAAGCACTGGTCCTCTCGGCTGGAGCACCCCAATACCTACCAGCTCCTTGCTCTTGACCGGATACAAAAGCGGGCAGTTTGACATATCAATGCTCTTGAGCTCACTCACGCGTTGCAACCCCTTAGCATGTGCAGACGGTACAACACGTAAAAGGACGCAACTCCTTCCACGTGTCGTACCGTCTATACAATCAATGGAGTGTGTTCCGAGGAATTATTTAACCGGATGCCAGTGGCCAAGTTTCTTCACAGCACCACACACCGCAGAGAAGTTTCCCGCCCATCATCTGGACGCCTGGCGTTCGAGCACCATGTGTTCCTTTCTTTTGTGTACCAGCAAGATCTAGAACGAACTTTCCTCAGTATTTATTTCTTATAGCTATGATATGGTAATCTTAAAAAGGCGGATGAACCTTTTCGTTCAGAGCCGGCAACGCATGAGTGGCCCTTGGTGCTGCAAGTGTCCATGGGCAGCATTGATCACTTACTATGAGGTAGACCGCTAGCTCTTTTGCCTACATCAACATAAAAAAAGTTGATTTGTGACATTTTTAACTGTTTTTTTATTGGTCTGTCCGGGTTCTGGGTTCCGAAATCCGGGGTTATTACGCCTTCGATCCTGATTGCCACATTTTAGAGATGGCAGCCCTATGTATATGCAACACCCAATTATTTGATAATAATATCATGATAGTAATATATCATGAACCTGGCCAAATAGAGCATGACTAAAAAACCAGATGTAGAAATCATACACTGTGAAGAAGAGCGTACGTTCTCTTATAATAATTCGGTGCTAATGCTGTTTTGATTACGCGAATTACATTTTTTGCGTAACCAGTATTTGTAATATCAGTCACGTTATATAGCAATAAGCGTATATTTACCTAAGTATCTTCTCATTATTAAATTTTGATTTTACTAGCTACTGAACTCCTGATGCAAAAAACAAAGAAGGAAATGGACTTAAGAATTACTGACATGTTACGTACACAGCTGCGAGTGCAACGCAACACGAAAATTATTACATTGGCTGGAATAGATCTACGATTGAAAGCATAGCCGAGATTGTCTGAAATTGTCTTCTTCCTCTAAGCACAATCGTCTTATTCATAGGCAATAGACAAAAAGCTCAACACAATAGGTTTCAATTGTCCGCAGCAGTCTAACTCCAGACTACAAAAGAAAGAAGTCTTATACCGACCGGCTAATATAATGAAAAAAATAACAGCAATATCATATTATTAACGTTAATAAAGAATGAATAACAATTGGTTAGCTAATAATGAAAAGGTCATAAACTTGAGAAATTATGAAAAAGGTAAAATAAAAATTTCAATCTAACCCAAACCACAATGATGTAAGATGAGTGAGCAATCAGAAACTAAGTTTGTTAACCTCAGATAGCAGACGTATAAAAAGCCAGAAATCTACCAACAAGTGACTAGATCAAGATAGCACATTGATTGGTGAGTACTATAAATGAATGACAGTACCTGCGACCTGACAGATCCGCAAGCAGGTCACGTTAGGTAATTGCAATAAAACTAACGAGTTAATGCAGAATACAGACTGTAAGTTTTTTCAGATGAGAATACGTGTTTCGAATGCAAATTGTGCATGACGAAAATGTTTTCCAGTTAAAAAGTAGGAGCAGAAGATTTATTTAACAGATGTCCACAAATACAAACAGCAAAAATCTACGAAAATCTTGTTTCCATTCCGCAGTACAATTATGGACTTTTTAAAGGTATTAGAAATCACAATGTTTTATGATATACCTATCTTGAGAGGAACGGTCGACTTTAATGGCTTAGCATGAAATAAGTTTAACATTA